TCTCACTGAGTTACTTAGCGCCTTGCTGTTGCTGAGGCTGGCTTTGAATTTTCGATCCTCCTGCCTCAGCCTCCTGAGCCACTGGGATTATGGGTGTGGGCCACCTTTGACCTTTGAGAACTGCATCAGTGTACTTGGCCACTCTGGTGAGACTGAGTGGTCAGCCTAGTTACAGCTGCTAAATAGAGGAGCTGGGAGCAATTTCAGCAATGCATAACTCCTGAGCCCAAGTCTTTCCCACAATGCTTTGTCTTTCCTTATGCTTTTTCGTTGTTTTTTTGTTTTTGTTCATTCCCTCAACCTCGTTAGCACTTGAGCCCTCACTCCGTACTTTGGCACTGTTGTCAATCAAATAGTAACAAAAAGAAGCTTACAATCACTTCGCTAAAAAGTTTGCAGTGTGTGTGTGTGTGTGTGTGTGTGTGTGTGTGTGTTGCTGGGGATGGAACCCTGAGGCTTTCACATGCAGGGCAAATGTTCTACCTCTGAGCTACAACCCCAAACCTTGCAATTTTAGACTATCCGAGGGAGAAGTGTACCCAGGAGGTACAGACAGAGAAATCTACAAAGGGGTGATAGTGCCCAATGTAGTTGTCATGCTAAGAACTTTGTTTTTTCACCACAGCCATGGGGAGCCACTGAAGGTTCTAGAACAGGGGAGTTACAAAGTCATTTCCAGGTTTTGAGATGATCTTGTGGGCAGAGTGAGGAAGTACTGGGGCTGCTTGAGATAAGAGGCAAGGAGATCTGTTAGGAAACTGGATTAATAGACCAAGGTAGCCACGGTGGGGGCCCAAACCACACCAGACACAGAGGGAAAGAAAAGGACAGATAAACTGGGCACAGTGCATTTGCCTATAATCTCAGTGATTTGGGAGGCTGAGGTAGAAGGATTGCAAGTTCAAGGCCAGCCTGGAGGACTTAGTGACACCCTGTCTCAAAATAAAAAATAAAAAAGGGCTAGGGATGCAGCTCAGTGGTGGAGCACCTCTGGGTTCAATCCCCAGTACAATAAATAAATAAAACACAGATAAAGCAGAAGTCATAGAAAAGGGGAAGATTTAAGGTGTGTTTGTCATTAATTTTTTTATTCATCTAGTCAACTTCATTTATTTCAACATACATTTATTGATTTTATGAGTGCATATCTTTTATGAAGACGTGTGTTAACCCTGAACTGACTCTCAATGTGAACCTGGGTAACAAGGAAGTCTATAGGTGAAGAACCACGAATGAAGCATTGTTTCCTCAGTGAATATTTGGTTGTGCCCATATTGTCAGCTGTGGCCAAATTTAGAATTTCTCTATGAGATTTTTGTTTGTTTGTTGTTTTGTTTTTATTTTGATGCTGGGTATTGAGCACAAGGGTATTCTATCTCTTCGGTAAATCCCCAGCCTTCCTTTGTTTTTGAGACAGGGTCTTGCTAAATTACTGAGGCTGATCTCAAATTTGTGATCCTTGTGCTTCAGTTTTCTGAGTAGCTGGGATTACAGGCATGTGTCCCTGCACCTGGCTGTCTTTGAGTTCTTTAAAGAGCAGCAATTACAAAAACTCAGCTTACAGCAGAAACAACTCTATGGTATAATTTAAGGCCTCCCAGGTTCTGAAGTGGCAAAGACCTTTGTCCATTCCTAGCCTTTCTCAACTGAAAAATCTTAACTGGGCCTCTCCAGAAATCTTCAACATGGCTGATTTTAGGACTGTCAGTAGTCTCTGCAAAAGAGTCTCTGCAAAAGAGTCCAATGTAGATAAACTTCCTRTTTTCGTGTCGCCTTGTTAACTTGGCCACTAGCCGAGAAGATACCAGCACTCCAGGTGCTGGACACCCCCTTACTAGTTTTCACAAACATATCAAGTATAGTACTTTGAAGAAATATGCAAACAAGGCCTCTGGCCTTGAGCTGGGCTTCACAGAGATGTCTACATTTTTAAGGAAAGTTACAATTGGGCTCCATGGTAACAGCTGGCAGGGGGAGGAAAGAAAGGGGAG